TAGTAGGTTGGAGGTCATTGCTAGTAGGTTGGAGGTCATTGCTAGTAGGTTGGTATACCTTGGTCTTTCGGGTGGCCAGGAAGTGGTCCGAGGCGGCCCCGCTGACCGCCCAGGGTCACCTGCACCAACAGGTGGTAATCTGTCAGTTCCTTGGTCGGTCACATTTCCAGGTAGTGATGCCAGGAGCCCCTAGTAGCGATGCCCTTTGCTCCTAGTAGCTTCTTGCTCCTAGTAGTAAGGCCAGGAGCCCCTAGTACCGTCCTTGCTCCTAGTAGCGATGCCGTTTGTTACTAGTAGCTTCTTGATGTATGCAACAAACAACTTCAAACAAGGCTATGCAACATGTGAAAGCTTGGCTTTCAATTGTTATTCACCCATCACTGGATTGATCGCCATAACACGATCCTTCGCAAATGACTTTTCCTCTTCTGAAACGGCCCTTTGTCTAAGAGCATCCTGTCTTGATTTCTTAAATGACCAGGCACATACCCTGGCAAAGTCCGGGTGGAATCCACCACCTCGCTTCCGGGCTTCAACAGCACCTTCGCGCGAGATACCACACAAAACATATTGGAAGAGTCAAACCTCTGAAGAAATGAACTTTGTGACTTTGATCTGACGATTTTCGGCTCGTCATTGGTCAAGGCACCAAGCCCCAGTAGTTTGGGCTGATGGGGGCTGCAGGGTTTGTGGCCGCCACACCAAACTCGTAGGCGGTATTTGGATACCTCGGACTTGGGCGACGGCCGATGACGTGCAAACAACCCTCACCATCCGGTTCTTCACCAAAGAGTCGGTTCCGTTTGCACCAGAGGAAACGAATTAAATCCGCCGGCCTGCCGGCGTGTTTTGTGGATTGTTTTGGTTAGTATTGCTTGTGTTGGTTTCAACCTACGGTTTGTATCTCTGCGCGGATTTTTCGACAGCCTGACGCCCCCCCCCCCTCGACTGAGACACGTCGATCGCTGGCTCAGAATAGACAACCATTGGACTGAGACATGTCGATCGCTGGATCAGAATAGACAACCTGATTCGGATTCGTTCCATTTCATTGTAAAACGACTTCGCTTGAAATCAACATCAACAAACTCACCCAGCCAAATGTGCAACTCCAATGCACCAACAAGTATGATTGAGCAGGGTATTGTTGTTCGATGTCATTCTGGGTCTTTCATTTCGAACGGTTTGGAGAAACAACGACAAATCATGCCAGATCAAGAAATTCTTCGGTCGCTTTGAAGCCTTCTGTATGTGAAAAAGAATATCTTTTGCGACTCGCAATTCCTCAATACGGTCGAAAAAAAGATCTGACAAGGAAAACATGCAAAAGGCCAAGTAGTTTGGAAGAAGAATCGTTTTCAAGGTCATGTTTTGTGGATTGTCTTGCTTCGTCTGGCTTGTGTTGATTTCCATTGGTTTCAATCTACGGCTGGTTTCAATCTACGGTTTGTTTCTCCGCGCGGATGTTTCGACAGCCTGCCCTGCCCCGGTTGCTTCAGACTAGGCCATGGCGAGAACAGGAAAAAGCGAGTTGAATCAAAGAGACGTGCCGGATTATATAGCTGCTTCAGCCTAGAAGAGGTGATCTTGTCCCTGCCTTGGAACGAAAATAGAACTGTGGAACACTGTTCATAAGCATCATTAGGCTGCCTGCCAATGCGGGCTCGAGCTGGTGGCCGGCGGCATGCCGAAGGCTGTGAATAGAACATAGACTTAGATGAAAGAAAAGGAAGAAACAAAGCAAAAGCCTAAAAGGAAGTAATTAAACAGAATCAATTTCATGAATCAAAATGTGTCGACTACTAAAATCACCTTGTGGAGTGAGGGGCCTTGAGCCTGGAACTCGATTACCCAAACCACTTTAAGCATCTCTTTTTTAAAGCATCCGTAAACATGCTTTTTCGGCTCGGCTTGAGATTCAAGTCGTACATGACTTTATTGACAGGTAACATTGTAGGCCTACTTAGGCCTCATTGTTGCCACTTTAACTGCTAGGATTTCTTCCCTTTACTATATCATACCATTTATCTATATGGGTCTAGTTGGTTCAAACATCTTCGAGAGTTCATTGTTTTGTTTCTTTGGGGGGGATATACCTTGGCCCACTTGTTGGTCTTTTTCCCTCCACAACAAACAGAAAGCATGGAAGTCTGGACATTCTGTTTTTTGTGGCCAATGGCCTGGAAGTTTTTGAGGCTAAACACCAAAATCACCCAGAATCTTTTGGCGAGTTATGTTTGCAAAAAGATCTAGGAACCAAAGCATTAGTGCGAGCGCTTCCTTGAAGACGCGTAAGCTTATCCTGCGTCCATATGTACCTTAAGCAGCTAATAGCTCATTCCATCTTATTCCACTGAATTAAGTAGCTAGTAGCTAGATGTAGCTAGCTTAAAACAAGTTCCAAGCTGCACTTGTTGGCCAGGGAGTGTCAAGGCCAAGGAGAGGTACTGGTGGTAGACATCTCCCGTGGACGATGTCACACCTGACACGATGTAAGGCCTGGCGGCCTTGCTAAACGGTTATGGATGAAACAAACGCACTTGGTTGGTTTTTAGTACATGTTCTATTTTCATGTCCCACTTGGGATGTCCTGCCAGCAGCCGGCAGGAGCCGGCGGGCAAACTGATGTATTGCACTCGCGGCGTGCAGCGCAGCCTTGAGGCAAGCCGCATGGCGCTGCTAACCGGATTGATGCGAAAAGGACACTTTCCATAAAACCTTTTGAAAGCTGAGAGAATCTTGCAAGACACATGAACTGTTTTAGATCAAATCTACTAGAAACATCGGGGACGTGATTTTCGGGCGCCAAGGGACTCATAGCTCGGGGGCGCGTGCAATTGCACTGCACCACCCACATCAAGGAACTGCGATGCCAGAAACCAAACGAAGACCATCGTCACTGCAGCCTTAAGTGTGTTCATGATAGCCGGTCCAAAAAGAACTCTGGAATGCACAAAAAATACATGTTTTTAACATTGTTTCGTTTAGTTTCTTCGTTTTTGTGTTGTCAACTTTTGATTCGATGTTATATTTTCTTTCGATGCTTCTGTTTCTCCGTGTTTCTCTGCTCCTGACTCGTTGAGTGTTGCCGCCGATGGTGGCCTCCAAAAGTTCCCTGATCTCATAGCCAGGCACCTGGAAGAATCAAAAGCGTTTTGAAAAGTCTGCCAAAAACAAAAAAAGATTGTCAAAATTTTCTCTTTCGCAACGCTCAAAGTCTCCGGGGTCAGGTGGACTTGAACTCACTTGTTCAATCTTCATCTTGTTCTATGTTTTCCCGACGCAGCGAAGGGTTCTCATTTAGTTGTCGTAGCAGTCGCAGCCGTTCGCGGCAGGTCGATGGCGCTGACAGCGAGGGAAGCAGAAAAGGCATCTCACTAAACGAAAGAGAAGTAGCAGCGAGGAAGAGGGGAACTATAACAGAGACTTCTTTGCGGTTGTCTTCGGGTCTCACTGGTTTCGGGTTTCTTTGGGCTCGGTTTCTTGTTTTTAGGGTTATTTTGGGGTGTCTTCCGGTTTCGTCTATTTGCAAGCTGGCCAGCAGCACAGGCTCTTTACTGCAAGCAGTGCAATATTCAAAGCTGGCCACTTGCAGCAACAGTTGCAGCAGCACAGTTTCTTCTGAAGCCTGTCCACTGCAAGCAAAACAGCATTTCAAGCTGTCCACTTTTTGCAGTTGCAGAAGCGAAAGCAAAGGCAGAAGCACGAGCAAATGCAAAAGCAGAAGCAGGAGCAGAAGCAGGAGCAAAGGCGAGAGCAGAAGCAAAAGCTGAAGCTGGAATCACTCGAAAAAAACAGCAGAAACAACGCGAAAACAATTCCCAAAGAAAGGCCGGGTTCCCCCACAAGAGTGTCAGAGTGTCCCGCAACAATTTGTCCACGAGTGTATCCCACAAGTTCGTTCTACAAGAGCTTTGCCGTTTGTTTCGAGTGCATGTGTTCATTTGGGTTCGTGGGTGCCATCTTGTTCATCGCTTCTAGTGCATCGCTTCTAGTAACAAGTGCCTTACTAGTAGTAACAAGAAGCTATTAGTAACAATTTAATTCTATTTTAATTCTAAGAGCTTTTTGTTACTACTAGTAAGGCACTTGTTACT